AACATAGAAATGGGTGGGAAGTTCAAATCCAAAATCAGAAATCTGGTGTCATAATTCCAAATATTATAAATCAGTAAGCAGAGAGACCATGTTCTTATGAAGGTGAAGAGATAAAGTCTCTGTAGTCTTTTAGTGATCTCCATAATTTTTATTACAGAGTAAGCTTTTTTCTAGTTAAGAAAATCAATCAGAATTCAAATTACAAGGGTGGACTGAAAAGTACAGAGACTGAATATGAAGGAATGATGCTAGAGCTGTGAAACTTTGCATGCATTAATTTCAACTCTTCTTATTAATAACTGACTAAAGGGTTTCTGTTTCATCAGGACCATGCTCCAGCAAACAAATCCATGGTTTCAATGGCTGCTGTGCATGACCTGTGCCTTTGAACTGGTTGATTGCCCTCCCTATTCTCTTGATTTGACTATCATCTGTTCCCCAACATGAAAAACACTTGGTATCACAGTGATGAAGACATCATATCTGCTGTTGATGAATAATCTTCTTTGAACAGTCAGATGTCAGTTTACCTGGAAAGAAACAATGTAGTTATTAATAAGAAGATTGAAATTAATGCATGCATGATTTCAAAGCTCTAGATTCACTCCTTCATAGTCAATCTATGAACTTTTCAGCTCACCCTCATATATACACACACCAGGATGAGGATTAAATTCACAAAAGTATTGTCAAATATGTCCTGCCAACCATTACTCTCTATGTTTTTCATATATTTGCTCACGTCAGCAATGACACATATGAAGATAATTTTTGTCTGTATTTCTGGGATTAAGGGTTATCATTATTTGCACTATTTATATTTGAGCTATTGTCCTCATCTTGTTGTTATTATATTTCAACAATTGTGCCCTCAGGTGCATATTGAAAAGAAATCTCTGTCAGTGGGGGGGGGCAAACTGCAATCAAAGTATCTAAGGCTGCAGCGGTGAAAAGAAAGTCCCATGTAAATGAAAACCCAGATCAAGCAGCAGACAGGAGAGCTCCCAATGCTTATAATATGCAAAGACTCTAGCACTCTAAAACTCCTGAACCAGCTAAAGGCCAAATCAAGAGCCTTCTGCAGGAGGTAGCTTAAATGCTGCCCGATAGGGCAGCTTTTATGCTAGTATGTTATATTATCTGAAAATTCTTGAAAAAATCCAAACAAGGGTCTGTACTGTCATCAGTCCCTACCTGGCATATCAATTTCAGTCACTTTCTCACCAATATAATGTAGCTTCCTTCTGTCTTTCCTATAAATATTTTTATGGCATTTGTTCTGATGAGCTCTCCTCTTCAGTACCTTGATTGCATGAATTTATGTATACTACTAGGTTAGTTACTATATGTCATTATTTTACTGTTGTATTAGTGAAATGTAACCATAAGTTCTGTTCTAATTGTTTTTGTTCTTGCATGTCTCACCTGTAAAATTCTCATTTGGCTTCTTGATTCCCTACCAGGCTACAATCTTCAAAAATTTAAGTGCAACATCAATTGCTTTCTATGGTCTTTCTGAAACCAGTCCTTTTATTCTCCTTTCTCCTTACTTACATCTTTCTCATTATTTACACTGTTTATATTCTGACTAGTGTCCTCATCTTTGTTGTTTTTATTACAATGTTTCAGCCATTGTGCCTTCCAGCCTTTCTCAGTCATATATTGATCTGAGTAATCTACATACTGCCCAATTTGATAGTTTTTGAATGAATTTCTGGGATAAGGAGTTATCATTATACTATGAAAAAATAAAAAGGTCAAGATCTCTCATATCTAGACAATCTCTTAGGAAGAGAGAAAAAGATGGTGAGGAGATAAAAGCTCCCAGAAAAAGTAGCAGGGAAAATAAGGGTATAAAATATCTACAGTACAGGAAGATGAGGTGACTCATTTACATATGAAGTCACACAAAGACTATAAATAGCTATGGCTATTACCCATGAGGCAGTTGAGTGCATACTACTTCCTGCAATTAGGTAACACTACACAACATATCTCAATGCAATATTATCAGACTTGATCTTGTGTTTCAGCTTCAGTCACTTTCCCACAGCCGTAAAGTTGCCTTCCTGTACCTTTTCTGTAAATGCTTTCATGGCAATTGTTCAGAAGAGCTCTTCACTATCATACATAAACTCTATGAATATAAATGAAGTACTTGATTGGCAATGAGGTCTCGTCAATATACAGTTGAGTTAGCTAGATATAGCTATAGGTTCTATGCTAACAGCTTCCTTTCTTACACTTTGTGCTTGCAGAACTCCCTTCCGGCTCCATGCCTTCCAGCCAACTTTAATATTCAAAAATTTAAATGCAATGTCAATCACTATCTACTTTCCTCCTGATTGCTCTTCTTTTGTACTTGCTTCTTAGTTGCATTTCTGTTTTCTAATTCTTTCATACCCAGTAACCCCTTGTGTCTCAGTGATTTCAATGCCTTTATTGGGGTGAACTTGATTAAATTTTTGAAGATTGTAGGTAAACAAAAAACTGGAAGACCGTTCTACAGGTGAGAAGTACAAGAGAAAAAAAATCTGTTAGAGTAACTTGTCGTTATAGTTAGCTGCTTGAACAGTAACATGACCTAGTTGCTAATTAATGCTTAAATTAATGCAGTCAAGGTAAGAAGGATGAGAGCTCATTAGAGCAATACCATGAACATACATACATACATACATACATATATATATATATATATATATATATATATATATATATATATACACACACACACTCTGGATATAGGTATCTATTAAAAATAATTCTTAAGTAATAAAAATCTGTTGGATTAATAAGTAAAAAATCCATCATTTTATATATATATATATATATATATATAAGGAAGAGGTTATAGTAGTTCCAATGAGAGAAAAGTGTGTATTAAAAGAAGAGAGAAACTGCAAACGTTTTTGGTTGTAATGTGGATTTTTTTATTTTACATTTTTAAAAAAAATCCACATTACAACCAAAAACGTTGCAGTATCTCTGTTCTGTTCAATATATATATATATATATATATATATATATATATATATAAAATGATAAATTAAGAAAACACCTTAAAAATTCATCTTGTTATAATTTATTTCATGAATATTGTTATATTCATCTCTTCAGATTGAATATTTTTAAGAAATGGAATCAATCCATCCAGAAAGATATAATGCAATAGAAAGGAGAAAGAGAGGAAAAAAGAAAAAAATTAAAAAATTAAGAGAAGAAAATAGAAAGGAAAGAAGGAAGAAATAAATGATGAACCAATAGCAAAAATGAATTGACCTAGAAAAATTTTCTTAAAATGGTTTACATAAAGAAAATAGAACCAGTTAATATACCAGGTAATAGAAGATAGATGGAATGAAAAAGGGATAGGAAGTTAAAAGTGTAACAACAAATTGTCTAATAATGTCAGTTAAAGTTGTGTTAGTTTAGACGGCATCATCATCACATCATACAATCATCATTTTAAACTAATAATAGTAATACTAATAATAATATGCAGCATAAATAAAATAATAAAAAAAATCAAGTGTCCTGGGTATGATGATAAACTACATCTGCGTCCTGGGTAAGATGGTAAATTATGTCCAACAGCAAGGCCTCTGATTATATGTTTTTGAAAGAATAATATTACTGGCTATACGTGTTTTTTTTTTTTTTTTTTTTGAAAGAATAGTGTTGTCGGCTGTATGTTTTTGAAAAAATAATATTACTAGCTATACATTTTTGAAAAAATGATATTACCAGCTATACATTTTTGAGGAAAAAAATATTGATAGAAATAGATTTTTGACAAAAAAAAATATGACCAGGAAAAAAAAAAAAGTTGTCAGCATTAAACGACCCACTGAGGTTGATATGCCATAAAACAAACCAAACCTGACCAAAATAAATAAATAAAACAAATATATTATATATTTTATTATTATAATAAACAAATTTAGAATATAAAAAAATTTGATAATGATTAAAATGATGAAGATAATACTATTAATAATACTAATAAATAAATAAAATATTAAATTAAAAATTTTAAATGATGTAGGCATCAGTAAAATAATCACATCTAGATCTATATATAAGAATTATGTGACGAATAATATAATTACATATAGACATACATACATATGAATACATGTACATGCATATGTCTGTAAACATATAAAATAAGAATCAACACTTCAAGTGTATTTCCTCCAAAGTCAATGTTTTTAGGGAATTCTAAATTTTTTATGTTGTCATTTGAATATAAGTTCATTTCTTTGAATCAACAGTTGGCCAGCATTTTTATATTTTATTATGTTTTTCTCCTGTATGCATAGATTGCATCTATTCTGGAAGTTGTTGGGAGTTTGAGAATGACAGATGATATCCCACTTGTAATTTAATTTGTATATAAGTAATGCATAATTAGAGTTGGCGGTAATAAAAATGTGCTCAAGGTATAATATTAGTACTAAAATTTATTCATTATTATTATGTAGATAGTACAGAAGAAAATAATATATGAATTTATCCCTCTCCTTCATATGTAGCTGTAATTACATCAACGTAAAGATCACTTTAGTCCAATGAAACCTAAAGGATGAAACGTCATGCACTCAGTTTTCCACTTTGTCATTAATGTTCCTAATATATGGATAGATAGAAGGATATTTATTATGTTGAGCTGAACCTCACAGAAGGAAATAGATTAAAAAAGATTATGTTACACCATTTCAACTGGGAATGACTCGGCTGCCTGATTTGGGAATCAGTATTTGAAATCTCGGCTTTTACTTGAACTCAATCACTGACCACTGTCAAAACTGCATATACTGGTATATATATTGAAATTCTTACTTCCTTGTCCCTATCATTGACAATATATATATATATATATATATATATATATATATATATATATATATATATATATATCTCCAGTCATAATGATAGCCTTTAGAGGTGTATCTTTACCTCTCCACCTCTGTCTTATCTGGCAAGGTGTCTCCATCAGAATGCCTGCTGGACATTTGACTAAGGAAGCTCTACCATTCTCTGACCCCCAGGGGTATCTACCATCGATCTTGCATGATGCTGACCTTCTGTGATCCATAGCCCACTTGAGTACATCTCACCACAGCTGGGCTTACTGAACTTGAAGGTAGCGCAAGCGATTTTAACTTGAGTACTAAGGTATAGGGTTACATTATTTTTCCTCAATTTTGGATGGAGCATTAAATATTTTATTATTATTATTGGTAAATTTTCTACTTTTCTGTATTGATATCTGCCTATGGACATTTCTTAGGTGGCTATTATTTTACTGCTTTTTTGAATTTTTTTTTCTTTTTTTTTTTCTTAGGTTTTCCTTTTTCTTTCTCTTCACTTTTAGTTCTTTTCCTTCATCCTTACTTTTTTCTGTTTCTTATTTTCTCCCTTTCTTTCTGTTAACCTCCCTGACATTTTCTATTTTTTTTAGGTTTTTTCTTTTTTTTTCTTTTCATTTGTCTTCTATTTTTCTTCTTTTTTTTTAACTTTTTTCCTTCCCATGTCAGTTTACTTTCTTCAGTTTTTCTTCTTTTTTATGTTTCTTTTTTTCTGATACTCTTTTTTTCTTTCTCTTTTCCTTTTCATCCTCTTTCTTTTTCTTTTCCTCCCCCGTCTTTCTTTTGGCATCCCTCCCCCTTTTCTTTTCTCTTTCCCTCCCCTCTTTTTTTTCTTTCCTCCTCCTCTTTCTTTTCTCTTTCCCCCCCTCTTTCTTTTCTCTTTTCCTCCCCTCTTTTTTTTTCCTTTCCCTCCCCTTTTCTTTTTTTTTCCCTCTTCTTTCCTCCCCATCTTTCTTTTTTCTTTCCCTCCCCATTTTTCTTTTTTCTTTCCCTCCATCTTTCTTTTCTTTTCCCTCCCATCTTTCTTTTTCTCTTTCCCTCCCCATTTTTTTTTTCTTTCCCTCCCCTCTTTCTTTTTTTTTCCTCCCCATCTTTTTTTTTTTTTTTCCTTCCATCTTTCTTTTCTCTTTCCCTCCCCATCTTTCTTTTCTCTTTCCCTCCCCATCTTTCTTTTCTCTTTCCCTCCCCATCTTTCTTTTCTTTTATGACCTTTCTCTTTTTCTTAAAATATCCTTTCCCTTCCCTTTTTTCTTCCCTTTTCTATCCTTTTACTTCATTTCTTTTCTTCCTTTCCATAGATTTATTCTCTTTCTTTTTCTTCCTTTCCATAGATTTGTTCTCTTTCTTTTTCTTCCATTACCTTTCTTGTTTTTTTTGTTTACATTATTTCTTTTCTTTTTTCTTTTCTTTTTTCTTCTTTGCTTTCATTCCCTTTTCCCTATTCTTTTATTTATTCTTTCTTTTCTTCTTCCTTTCTTTTTTTTTCTATTTCATTTCTTTCTCCCTCTTTTTACCAAGTTCTTTTAATGCCTCTTCCTCTTTATTTCATTTAATTTTCTATCACTTTTTGTCATTCACAAATAGACATTTGCTTCCATATACAAATAGACATTGAGAAAAAAAAAATCAAATCTGCTGTCATTCACATACCCCCCACCCCGCACATACACAAATTTTGACACTATCAGGTACACTCATATCTACACATGTATCCATAGCCCAACTCTGTTACCTACACTCCATCTATTTGTACATATCTCCATTGATCCATGGGAGGAGTAGCTGAGTTGGTAGCTGTTGGGGTGGATAAGAACTCCTACTTGACTTTTTGACTTCTGGGTAGGGTTGGTTTTATACAACTCAGAAATTATTCAATTTTTTTTCTTTAATATCCCCACCCCATAAAAGGTACTTTCATATCATTTCTTATAATAAGTAGGTTTGGTTTCTAAATAAAAACTTGTGCACTCTGCTTTACTGTACACTGCAGTTAGAGACATTCTGGAAAGAATTCAAGTTGACATACTTTTTAATTACCACAACTATTCTCATTTATACTATTAGTCCAACTACAATGAAAACTATTGGCACTATTCTTCATACCAATCTTATTACAATTGTGCTTGTTCCTCTTTTCATTAGTTAGCAAGACCATTACATCCTGGTAATACCTAATAATAATAGACTATTCTGTGTTTTGATCTGTTGCAAACAAGGGAAAAGGTATTACTTGGTTTCAATGAGAAAAGGAAAGAAAAAAAGAAAAAAAGAAAGATAGAAGTGGAGAATGAGAATCAGATTAAGCTGATTAAAACAGTTACTACAATTTGATCTCAGCCAAAAGGCTGTGAAGCAAATGTATTTTCTTGCTGTCTCATGCAGGCCAAATGTGACAAGGTCAGTTTAATATAGGGAGCACAAGTGTGTGAACTCTGGCTGGGTCCAAAAATAGGCCATGTCAATGCAGCCATCAGTTGTGCTGACATCAGTATTACTACCGATCACCCCCTTTTTTAGTGCAATGTGGGAGGTAGTGCCACAGGAAGCTACTTTCTGAGACCGGACACATCTCAATAATATTTTCAGTTGCACACTGTCAGCAGACAGACACACAACTGAGCTGCACTCTAATGAAAGACACACAACTGAGCTGCACTCTAATGAAAGACACACAACTGAGCTGCACTCTAAAGACAGACACATAACTGAGAGATGAATCTGACCCAGGACAGATATTACACTTTGATCTCAGCTAAAAGGCTGAAAAGTGATGACAACCACAATAATTGTACCATTTTTCAGTCACACAATATCAAATAACGGAAATCAAGTAAGGTAATCATAAAAAATCAAATTACCATAAATTAATTAAAACAACATTATCTGCTAATTTATTTTTACATTATTATTTAGAGAAATGTTTGTAAGACTGGGATTTGGCTAGAAATAAAGGAAGCTAAAAGTGATTAACAACTCCTGACAACACCCCATAAATAATGGACTATTCCGTTTCGATCATGTAGAAAAAGAGAAAAAGACACTACTTGGTTTCAGTGAATAAATGAAAGAAATAAAGATGGAAAGATAGAAGTGTTTAACACTTGTTTCAGTGAAATGGAAAAAATTATGAATTTCAAATCTTTTCATTTTTATCTACTTAAAATAACAACCAGCATTCATATCTCTGATTGTTATTGCAATATTTTCTTAAAGTTGCTAAGCTCAGATATTTAACAATGTGATAAGGGAATTTCTACAGATCTTTTATTGTCATAGAACTCACCATGAGCTTATTCAATCATTAACTTAAGAATTAAGATTCATCAGAAAATTTAAATATGAAAACATTTGAATAGAAAAAAATTTTCATGAGTCTTTCAAGTAATAAAATAATTATTTTTGTGACAAACATTATTATGATGATGAGGATTCCTGGTTAATTTTTCTCAAATCATTGATAATAATTAATTTTGATTGTTGAACCCTAAGGCTGTGATCCATTTTTTTCATTTGTTAGCTGTTTTTACATGTACCTGTTAGATTTGGTGATATTCTTTGCATTTCAAACTGAACCCTTTATTCAATCTCAGTAATAGACTGTTCTTATTCTTCTGTCAATCTCATTATTATAAGTTTCATTAATTTGTCCTTGTGATGCAAATTCAGTCAGATTCCACAACCTGATTCAAAGATTTTATTCATAATGACTAGTGAACTGAAATGATTAACCGATGCTTATTATATCCACTAGGCTGTAGTCTTATAGGATAGTCAGATATTATAATTTTCAAACTTTAAACTTTGTTTTCTTCACTGATCAAAGTCTTCCATAGACTGTTCAACTGAAGCTATGCTTAATGAGAAGGCTATTAAGAACTAGGTTGTGTGCTGAGTCTTCCAATCACATTTTTCCTCTGTACATGGTCAGCTACACCTGATTTCATTGTCTTTCCACATCCTTTGCCAACGCAGATTTCATAGTCTCTCTATATGATCAACCATAGTTGATTTCATTGTCTTTCCACATCCTTTGCCATAGCAGACTTCATAGTCTCTCCATATGATCAGCCATAGCTGATTTCATAGTCTTTCCACATCATCAGTCATAGCTGATTTCAATATTTCTTCACATCATCAGTCATAGCTGATTTCAATATTTCTTCACATCATCAGTCATAGCTGATTTCAATATTTCTTCACATCATCAGTAATAGATGATTTCATAGTCTTTCCACATCATCGGTAGTAACTGATTTTATAGTCACTCCACAGTGTTGGCCATAGCAGATTTCATAATCTCTTCATATCATTGGCCATAGTTGATTTCATAGTCTTTCCACATCATCAGATATATTGGATTTCATAGTCTTTTCTCATCATTGGCCACAGCAGATTTCATAGTCTCTTCACATCATCAGCCATACTTAATTTAATTGCCTCTATGGATTTCTGATCTTTCAGCTTTATCATCTTTATATTCCCTACCAAAATTGCATAGAAGACTATAAATACAGTCTTTCATGGTGGCTTTACAGTGGAAATGGAAACTGGCTACAAAAAATCTCACAAAATAATATTGAAAAATCATATCAAAATGTCATATAATTTATATTTCTGTAAGTAAATATTGAAATATAAGACAACACCTGTGAGCAGTATGCCAGAAATATTTAATGCAAATATGAGTCAAATAAAGAAGGTTGAATTAACTTTTTGGGGGGATTTGAAAAGTCATCAATCAGAAAAAAAGAATAACACTCAAAATATAATTATTTTGACTTTTTTTCAAGAGGAGTGATTATTTGCTATAATATAGTTTAAATAAATTATATTGCATTTTGGATGTTATTTTTGCTTTTATTTTGTGTTATTTAATATGTCTAACTTGTTAAACCCAAAGGAGGTCTTGGTATATGAGGCTAGCTGGAATAATTTGAGGAAAATGTAAGAGAGGTAATTCAGTTCTTTTTGTCCGAATTTCTGGGATCAGTTTTAGTAGGTAAGATTAGAGGAACATCAAAAAGCCATAGTGAGAGGTGAGACAATGAAATCAGGAACAGCTGATCATGTATGGAGGCAAAGAGGTAGGCATTAACCCCTGTGGAATGAAGTAAAAATAGTGAACAAAAAACAACACTGGAGAGTTACACATCTGAAAGAACCAGCACATATGCTAAGCTATGAGGACCTCCTTAATAGACCTAGCATAAATAAATATAAATATGGGAGCCACAAATAAAGTGAGACAAATGACAGTAAGTCTTCAATCCCAGCAGAAGTGGCAGCCTAATCAGCAGTGAAGGTTAGGTTTAAGTGTCTAAGTTTACTCCAGCAAATTTTCCTACAATGGCCTAGTGAGTAAAAGCATTAGTTTGTGAATTTAGTGGCATAGTGGTTGTGAGTACAGTCCCAGGGTTGAGCAGTGTGTACTTGTACTCAGTGGAAACAGGAAAACAATAACTGAACAGTACTAAATAAAAATAAGAACTAAATGATATCCCTAGCAGTGTTATGTGCACAGTCTATCACTGTAGATTAAAAATATGTTCAATTTAGAATTCCCTGAAGGTTATCAATCTTGATATACACCTGAGAGAGGCCAGCAGGCACAATGGCTGAAATGTTGTTATAAAAATGACAAATTTGAGGACAATAGTTCAAATATAAATAGTATAAATAAGGCAATTCAGTGTTTATTATGCAGAAAGCATTTAAATGGCAAATTTAGCAACAGCTGATTGAGTCCTGCTTAAGCATTAATTTCTACAAATAAGTTGGTAGTCGTATATAAAACATTCTCCTAAGGAGATGCAAGTTAAAGATTTGTCATAAGTTATTTCTTTGTCTTCAGTTTACTTTCTTTTTCTGTGTAACATATCCCATCAGGATTTTAGTTATCATGGCCCTCCACAATTTCCTCTTTGTAGCTCTTAATAAGATTTGTCTTTTTGCCATCTTAGCCAAACCCTGCTCTGCTGTCCATTTGATCAAGCTTACCAGCTAGGTTGTGCATTACTTTCTTCTAGTCCTCTTACCTTCAATGTGTCCTGTGAGTATGAAATTTTCCAAGCCTTCTTTCTTCATTATGCACCCTAGAAATTTCATCTCTCTCTTCCTGATGTTAAGTGTAATTGTCCTTTTTGTTGCCATTGTCTCTAGAGCTTTGTTGTTACATGTTAGGTCCATGGTATTATTAGCATCATTCTGTAGAACCACATTTCTGTTGCATAAAGTCTCTTTAAAGATTGATAGGTCGTTAAACATTAAACAAACAAAGCATAAAGTCTCTTCATCTACAAGGAGATTTACTGCCATATTTCATTTTGATATCATTCTGCACATAAATATAGCATTGCTTGTTTCAGTGTCTTTAATAAACACTCTTCTTGTTCTATTTCCATTAAAGAATGTGCTCACAGAATGTTATGATAAAAAATAAGAAAATTGCATCAGAAGATAAGAATAAAATACTTCATCTCAAAATTCAAATTAGAAATAAATTCATATTTCCAGAAATGCATTGTTATAAATCCATCTCCTCCCCAGCTATGGGTTAAATAGTAAGACTTGTATCTAGAAAAACATTGTTTTTCTCAAAATATTGTTAATGCAATA